CCACCCACTTATGGAGCCCCCATTCCCTTATAACACCCCTCTCCGGGTCCCCACAGTCACTGCTCCCCCTGCTGACTAGGTTAGCAACCCCTCCATGTAATAATGCCCACACCCCCTTGAGTCCTCACTCCCTCGCTGAACCCCACTCCTCCACTGAGCCCCAAGCTCCTTCCTGAGCCCACTCTCTTCCCCAAACCTTGTCTGCCCCCTGGCATTGGCACTTCAAAGTCGGCCCTCCTCTGCCCCACCCTGGCCTGGCTGGGCTCTGTCTTGGCCCCAGTTGGGCTCTGTCCCAAATTCTCCTGTTAGCCCTGCCCCGTTGTTACACACAGAGCCATGGTGGACTGACTCCCACAGCTATCTCATCATGAAGAGGGCCTGGCCCATGTCCCTGCTCCCATCCCTCCTCCTCCAGTTCCCATCTCAGTGTCAACCCCCGGGTAGTGGGGCCTGCGCCTGCCTGGTTCCCCCTCCATGGGGTGAGGGCAAGGGGAGGGCCAGCACTGGAGCTCACCGCCCTCCACTCCTCACAGCAAGCCTCTGTACTCTGCGCTGGCTGCTGTGGTTCTCGCCTCCATCACCTACCCCCCTGGTGTGGGCCGCTTCATGGCTTCTCGGGTAAGGGGCCCTGAGCTGGGACAGCGGGAGTGGGGAACCCCAATTAATTGCCCACTTTGTGCCTGTCATCTCACGTAACCCCCCTACACCTGGAGAGGCCTGTGCGTCGGGCCGGGAGGTTCAGAGCCATTCCAAGGTCCCCCCTGCCCTGATGGGAAGTGGCAGAATGTGAGGGGGCAGCAGGGGCTACCGCCCGGCCCCCTCATGCAGAGCTCCCACCTACCCTGCTCCAGCTGTCCATGAAGGAGCACCTGGACTCACTGTTTGACAACAACTCGTGGGCGCTGATGACCCGGAACTCGTCCCCACCCTGGCCTAAGGAGCTCGACCCCCAGAACCTGTGGTTCGAATGGTATCACCCACGGTTCACCATCTTTGGGACCCTTGCCTTCTTCCTGGTTATGAAGGTGGGTGTCCCCTGGGGTGTGCCTAGAGCTGAGGCTAGTCTTGGTGGGATGGGGGGGGGCCTCCCCACAGAATGGAGCACAGCGCCTGGGCCTTCCACCCAGACTCCCTGACCCCTGTTTGCTGTGTGGTCCTGAGCTGTCTGAGCCTGATGAGGAAACCCTCAGCTGTCTGAGCCTGGGTTTCCTCATCTTTAAAATGGGGTAGTTACTGTGCCTACCTCAAAGGGAAGGTTGAAAGGGAGGAAAGAAGTCCTGGCACACAGTGGGCTCTTTGTCAGGCTGCGGTTCCTTACACTGCTCAGTGCCTTCCCTGACACCAGATGCTGGCTTGGCGTGGGCCCGGGCAGCCTTTCTCCCTGGGACACTCCTCTGTCCCCTGTCCAGTCCTTGCCTTGCCCACTCTGCCCGGGTGCCTCTAGCCTATGCCCCTTTGGGTTCCCCCACCCACAGTTCTGGATGCTAATTCTGGCCACCACGATCCCCATACCCGCTGGGTACTTCATGCCTATATTCATCTTCGGTGAGTCTGGGGTCCTGAGGGTCTTAGAGGTTCAGGTGACTGGGGCAGGGCTGTGGCTCCTGGTCCACTCCCTCCCTCCCCATGTCGGTGCTGAGGTTGGTCCCCAAGGATGGAGGGCTGTGGAGGCCGGGTCAGCCCAGCTCCCACGCCTCACCCTAAGTCTGTGACCAGGAGCTGCCATTGGGCGCCTCATTGGGGAGGCCCTCTCTCTTGCCTTCCCTGAGGGCATCGTGGCCGGAGGGGTCATCAATCCCATCATGCCTGGGGGGTATGCTGTGGCAGGTAAGTGGGCCCGGTCCCCACCGGGTGGGCTGGGCCTGGAGAATCAGCCAGTGTGTCTGCAGGGCATGGAGTGGCCACTGAGCCCCTCAATGAGCTCCCCACCCTTTCCTGAGCCCCCATTACTCTCTCCAGCTCCTATCTTGTCCCTAATCCTCCATCTGTTCCCTTACTGCTCTCCCCCTCTCCAAGCCCAGGCATTGGGGCACTTCCAGCAGTGGCCAGCGTGTGGCCCCTGGACAATTTCCACCCTAGCCCATGGCCGTAACCATACCAGCCTTGCCCTCTGCATGAGGCTGGCCCCTGGCCTGAGCTACCCTGCCCTGGCTCTGCCCCCCTGCAGGGGCTGCGGCCTTTTCAGGGGCTGTGACCCACACCATCTCCACGGCACTGCTGGCCTTTGAGATGACCGGCCAGATCGTGCACGCATTGCCTGTGCTGATGGCGGTGCTGATGGCCAACGCCATTGCCCAGAGCTGCCAGCCTTCCTTCTACGACGGCACCATCATTGTCAAGAAGCTGCCATATCTCCCGTGGATCCGGTGCCGAAAAATCAGGTGAGCGGCGCCTGACTCAGGTTGGCTGACAGGGGTGAGGGCACCCAGTGGACTGGGGGTGCACCCCCCAAAATACCCCACTGCCGCTGACCTTGGACACGGCTGGTGTCGGAGGGGCTGACACACAGCTGTCCTCTTGCCTCCGTTCTCCCAGCTCCCTGTGTGACCTTGGGAAAGTTTCTGGCCTCCTGGGCTTCCTCATCTTACTAGTCATCAGTTTGTCTTCACAACAGGACAGATATTGTCCACTTGCTGGAAACGGCGGCTCAGAGCAGCGCCGTGTCTTGCTCCAGGTCACACAGAGATTCAGCACCAGATCTGGGAGGTCCCCTCCCCACCCCCCACTCCTAGCTCTGCTGTCCTCACTGGGACATTGCGTGCAGGAGGTGGGACTAGAATGGAAATGGGCTGTGAATTCCTCACTCGGCCATACAGGACCGCAGCAGCCTCTGTCCCCTGAGAGGCAGGA